GCCGGCCCCATGACTTTTAGCTCGCTGCTCTTCTACCTTTTATATTTTATTCTTATTTCTCCTCCCTCCCTCCCTCCATTTGCGCTGAGTTATTAGAGCCTTAGTTATTACTGATGCTTTCGTCGGCACGTCACCGGTTCGCTTAACCGCTCCGCGTACTAACTCCAAAACCCAATTATTATCTCGCTTTTCTCCACTCCTTAGAAAGCACCTTTAAAATTAGCATCATTCTATAGAAAGACCGTCTTTAATGACCATTAAGGTATCGGAACGGAGGTTAAACTTTTTCTTCTCTTTCTTTGCTCACCTTTACGGCCCAATTTGATGGGTAAGATTTTAGTGTAAAATTTTCTTAACTTCCTCTCCTCTATCCTCCTAATAGAACTCCCAAATAATGTTTAAGGGCATGTTTGGTTTGTTTCCTAAATATAGGGAAATGCAATTCCATGTAAAGAAACTCAAGTTTTGAGTTTTTTAAACTTTTTCAAGAAATAGATTTTTTGGTTTGGTTCGCATGTAAAATATGGTGAGAAAGCAATGTATTTGTTTTTCTTGTGTTTGGTTTGCACGAGAAAAGAAGGAAAAACTTTTGTTGATTTGACATTTCTCACTTTTCTTGTGTTTGGTTGGTTTGAAGTGGGTAGGGAAAATTGTTTTATAGTCACCATGGTAAGATTACCCATCACTATAGACAAATTTATCTGTGCTTGTTATGAGAGGTAATCTTAATCATATAAGGGCATGTTTGGTTCGTTTCCTTCATTTTCCAAAACCCATTTTTTTTTCACTTTTTTGTGTTTCCTTCACTTTCATTGGCTGGAAACACACTTGGCAAGCACACAACTGATGGGGTAAAACGCATTCACAAAGTTCTGCAACAAGGCTAACAAAGAACTGATGGGGTAAAATGCATTGGTATAAAGCTTGGTATATTTTTCAATATATGTCAAAAATAGCTTGTAATTGTCCGGGTCGATGCCATAGAGTGAGTGCTGCAAACCAAGTATGTGAAAACACCCTAGAGGGGGGTGAATAGGGTTTATGCTAATCTAATCCGATTTTATACCAATTAAAAACTATTAACAAATTATCCTAACAAATAAGATATGCAACAATTATATGCAATGATAAGCAATGTAAACAAAGGGTAAAATAAACAAACTACAAAATAAACAAGATAGTGGTCACTATGAGCAATAGACAATGGCGACAAGAATGAAATGAACAATAAGCACAAGTGAGACGCCAAGGCAATCACAAACACATAAAGATGATCACGGAGTTCGGACCTTCCGTCCTACGTCTCCGCTCCCCACTCTCGGGGAGAAATTCACTATCACAACCGGGTTTTTAACGCTCACCCGAATAACGTTTACACCTCACACTTGGTTTTCTAGCTCACCGAAAACTTTATAATCTTCACTCTTGCAATCCCACTCTACACCCTCTAAGTGTTGGTCTCTAGCCCGTGTCTCCCTCAAGTGTTAGGAATTACAACCTACCCCACTCCTTTTTGGACGATCCCGTCTCTCACCACTCACTTCTCTCGGTGTACAAGTGTATTACCAAAGTGTTCAACACAATTATGCTCACAATACAAATAAATCTATTCTCTACAATGGATGAAAATACAATATAAGCTCACACTCTAAGTCACTAAATCACAACCCCAATTATACAATGTATGCAAATACAATAAGCTCAATTCGTTGTGTGTAAACAATGAGTGAAATCAATACTAAACTCAAATATGAAATCTAGCTTAAAACAATGATAATCAAACAAGTATATAAATGTAAAGCCAGAGTTTGAGTTTAGAAAACTTCTCAAAACTTCTCTATGATGACGAGAGAGAGAGAGAGAGAGAGAGAGAGAGAGAGAGAGAGATGAGTTGAAGCTCAAACACCAAAGGATGATCTCTTCTAGCTCTTGTGAAAATTTCTTCACAAACTTGTAAACAAACTTTAAACACTTTTAAACAAAACTTAAACCATTGTAAAACTTGTTTAAAACATTCTCTTGAGTAAATAAAACTAAGGATATGTGGGGGTATTTATAGGAACCCCAAAGCCAAGAGAAAACAAGGCAAAAAGACCAAAAACCTAAAACTCAAACAAGCTGAAAAAAACTAGCCGTTACAGCATCAGTCGACTGATGGGTTTTATCAGTCGACTGATGAGCTGACCGTTGTAGGTATTTTTTAGCTCATCACTCGACTGACGACCTTATCAGTCGACTGACGATCTTATCAGTCGACTGGCGACCTTATCAGTCGACTGACGACCTTATCAGTTGACTGACGACTTCATCAGTCGATTAGTCAGTCGACCAATATAAAAACAGAAACTTTTGATGATTCCAAGTGATTTTTTCAGTCGACTGAACATATATATCAGTCGACTGATAACGTGTTATCAGCCTATTTTAAATAGTAAAAACCAACTTTGAAGTGTCTTTAAAAATATCAAACAAATTTCAAAAATTATAAAACTTTGGAAAATGATTGTAAACATGATAATAAACATGTTACAAAAAAAACTTTTAGAATTATACTTCGCATTTGTGAAAACTCATTATTTTATAAAATAGTCCAAAACATGAAAATGAACAACATGTTTTGAAACTTAAAGTATTAACACACAGGTATAAATAGGAAACTTAAAGTATTAACACACAAGTATAACTCATTATTTTATAAAATAGTCCAAAACATGTTTTTAACATTTTAGCTAAATCATGTTTTGAAACTTTACAAAATGATTTTATAGACTTAATAAAATTTGTATAAAGTGATATTAAAGTCTATAAACTAATAAAATAATATTTTCATAAAAATACATATATTTTGATAAAATCAACAAATACATGTGTGTGATTAATATGAGCTTAAAGTATTAACACACATGTATAAACCTATACTATAAATACTATAAACTATATACCCAAGCTTGAAGGTCTTTAATATAGCTTGACTTGGTAAACTTGCGGATGAATCTTGAACTTGAATCTTGAACTTGAATTGCATTGTTTCACTCTACTATTTCCGCCAACCTTCATTTGATATGATCGTTGTGGCGCAATCCATCCAACCTCTAACACATTGTTTGCCTAGAATAAATAGAAAAATATAAATACTAGATAAACAATATTAGTAGTAAATTGTTTGTTAAACATCATCAAAACAAAAAGGTCAACAGTATGTATGGGTTGAAATTAAAATGAAGATGCGTTGAAATTAAAAGGGAGGATTAGAAATAACATTGTATAAATTACAACTCACGTGGCATAAATTAGAACTCACATAGCATAAATTAGAACTAAAATGATCTGCGATAGAACTAACATAGCATAATTTAGGACTAACATGGTACAAATTAGAACTCACAAGGCATACATTAGAACTCACATGGTATATATTAGAACTAACATGAGTCACGATAGAACTAACATGGTATAAATTAGGACTAACATGGTATAAATTAGAACTCACGAGGCATAAATTAGAACTAACATGGTATAAATTAAAACTCACGAGGCATAAACCATGCACACAATTAAAACAAAGGCCAAGCAAGGACTGAAACCAAAGGCCAACCATAACTAACCAACCAAAGGCCAAACAAAGGTTGAAACCAAAAGCCAACCAAAGGACACAACTGAAACCAACTTCATAACCAACCCAGGAGCTGAAACCAAGGCCGAGAGCAAGGCTAAAACCATGCTAAAAATTGAAACGAAGTCTAAGCAAGGGCTGAAACCAAAATTGTAAACACATAGCTGACCAACCAAAGGCCAAACAAAGACTGAAACCAAAGCCCAACCAAAGGATACAACTGAAATCAACATCATAACCAACCTAGGAGCTGAAACCAAGGCTCAGAGCAAGGTTGAAACCATGCACACAATTGAAACAAAGGCCAAGCAACAAACCATACAGACATTTCCAACCATGCAGACATTCCCTAGATTCCAAATTAGGACAGAGAGATCCATGTTGCAAATACAAACTTCCAGGAAACCATGCAGACATTTCCAACTCAAATGTCTCGGTTAAGAAAAGCTCAACACTTAAGAAATCCAGAACTTGGATCTCAGTTAAGAAAAGCCCAGTTAAGAAAAGCTCAACACTTAAAAAATATGCTCAGAAAAGGCCCTTTTTTCATTATCTGCCTCGCCATGCAATTTATAATAGCAATGTTGACTGCAATATATTACCTCGCCAATATATTGTTACTATAAACTTTGGCTGCAAATCTTAAAAATAGCTCATCATCATAACACAAAATATGCATACATGTTTCACTTTAATTCCATCAAACTAGAAATATGTAGGTTACTCTAAATTCACTAGCTTGCAGAGATAATGAGGAGGAATGATTTATTGCGAGACTCAATACATGTTACAGTGGAGGAGCAACTTGCTATGACTTTGAGATGGAGAATTAGAACTAACATGGTATAAATTAGAACTCACATGACATAAATTAGAACTAGCATGGTATAAATTACAACAAACATGGTTCAAATTAGAACTCACGTGGCATAAATTAGAACTCACATGACATAAAATAGAACTAACATGAGCTATGATAGAACTAACATGGCATAAATTAGAACTAGCATGGTACAAATTAGAACTAATGAGGCATAAATTAGAACTCACATGATATATATTAGAGCTAACATGAGCCGTGATAGAACTAACATGATATAA